ACAATATTCTGTCCGCATACATTCAATTACTCATCCTCCCTGCCTTCACCTTGTCACTGTCTTATATATATCAGACTACCCCCAATCTAGTAGTCTCCCGACAATTCACGAAGGTTCGAAAAGGACGTGGCGTGATACTAGTCAACCTCGCTGATTCAACAGTATGTTATATTAATTGTCTCATTGATCTGTGAAAGTGAAACACTAATTTGTTACATCTCCGTTCGTTAGTTAATTTTCCGTAAATTCGTTGAGACGAAACTTTAGCGACACATGTCCTTTCTTAAATATTCGCTGAAGCAACAATACGATGTTTCAATATTGTAGGAGCGAAAAGAAAGCAAGATATGTATACTAAATTTTTAGACTGATATGTCTGAAAGCTCAATACATAAAAATTTCATAATTGTAGAAAAATTTTCTTTGATAACGTTGTTTTATTGATAGATGTGAGATGTGTTTGAGCAGTTTTGCACTAAATAAAATAATGAACAATGATTGCGTTTCCTGGCCGATTCCCATACTTAGTCAGTATTTTGTAAATCATTTTAGTTAGTCAATATTTTATAAATAATTTGCTAAAGAAACAATTAATAAACTAAAATTGTGAAATAAGTAAGCGAAATGAGATATAGATATCACATAGAGTTCCAAAAGTCGACCACCAGTTACCAGTTGTTAAAAGTTGTGAACTAAAGCTTATCATTTGTTTGTTTGTTTTAATGCAAAGCTATAATGGGCTACCTGCACTTTGTCCACTAGGGGAATTCAAGCACTGGATTTTAGTGTTGTAAGTCTTTCAGTTGACCAACTTGATGATACAGCATATTTTTATCATTGTTAAGTGATATCGGTTGCTTGCCATTATGTTCAACATAGTAATTTTAAGTATAACTTCAAATACAACATTTGATTAAAAATTGTGGTGTCATTTCACTTTTGGGCAAAGTTTCGATTAACGTTTTAACACGCCATGAGCAATAATAAAATTCTTAACAACATGAAGAAAATGTACTCCCCTGCAAACTTCTTAAAGTTTTAAATTTCTAAGTATCAAATAAATATTTAAATACTAAAATATGCGTTTTTTGTTTTTTATTGTGTATCTTAAAATACATCAAGCACTGGGAGAATTGTTTGTCTATAAAGATGACAGTGAAAGAGTTAGCATGACCTGTTGGTTAGGGTGTTTCACACATAATGTGCGGGTCGTGGGATTGATACCCGTCTCCAAACGTGCTCGCCCTTTCAGCCACATTGAAGTTGTAATGTGATGGACAATCCCACTATCTGTCAGTAAAACGTAGTTGAAGAGTTGATGGTGGGTGATGTTGAGTAATTGCCTTCTCTCTAGTCTAGTACTTCAAAATTACGGATGGCTAATGCAGATAGCTCTTGAGTAACTTTGCACGAAAATTCAAGGAACAAACAACTTAACCCGATTTTCATTCATTATTTTAGATTCAATGTATGTATGTATGTATTCACGTAGTTTCTGATCCTTATGATCAATACGAACATCTACAATCATAATGGTGTTTTCAAATATCTATATTTATTATGAAACCTGACCTAACGTATATGGAGTATAAATGTTCTTTGATAAGAACAAGCCTATGCCACGTTTGAGAAATGAAAATAATCTTCAGAGTAACTCTTATACCAACTGTAAAATTTCGAAATTTCAGCACACTAGAGAACTCAAAGAAACTCCTGTTTTTTTTGGTCCAAACTTTGGAAAATGTAGAAAGTCTCAATTAATTAAAAGCCACAAAAGTATTGTTTAACAAAAGAATAGTTTAACCTGACCTTTAAGAATGGTCTTACGTCTTCTGGCGTGTTGGTTTCTATATCAGACAACTCACTTGAACTGCACGAATCTTCTGTTGAATATGTTGTGGAACTACGTGGACCTCCCTATAAAGGTGTTTATTAAAATATCAAATCTAAAACACACAGATATCACAAGGAATTTCTTCAAACCATTCTAACTATTATTTACAACATGTGAAAATGTTATACATGCATTATCATCTCGTGTCTATTAAATACAGTACTTAAAATAACTAAGTAATAATCTGAGTTTTATGCCTTTAGCTTTGTTACTGAATAACGTCAATGGTCACCTCTAAGTTGTGTTCATGCGAAACAAATGCCAGGAGACCAGTCATGTGATTTATACAGATATCTATTATTTGTGTCCATGTTCATAAATGTTCATTAGTTACAACAGACTTTGTAAACTACTAAATGACCATAAAACGTTCGTCATTAAGGTGTATGATTAGCTTGGACATTAATACAAATCACCGATATGGCAAGGTTAGCATGAGTTAATCATTAAGCTTATAGTTTAGCTTGGAGGTGAATCACGTGCTGCCAGAGTATCCCGATACAGATTCTTCAGTCGGATTCGTTTGATACCTTCTATTGTGTTAAAGATTATAGCCAATTGCACATGGTAGGGGTGCACGTTATTGCTCATTAGAAGAATGTTCTGACCAGCTTCATCAGCAAATGGCAATATTAATATCAGTAAAACTGCACTCCTATATCATATGAACCCAGGCCATTACAGCATCACCCCCATATGAGTTTTTGTTTTTTAATGTGTATCTTAAAATGCATCAAGCACTGGGAGAATTGTTTGTCTATAAAGGTGACAGTGAAAGAGTTAGCATAACCTGTTGGTTAGGGTGTTTCACACATAATGCTATGTTTGGTCAACCTATTACTCTCTACATCATGGAAATGTCAAAATGTCTTCATCTTGACATATTTCAGTGTAAACCCAGATCTCTGTACATACTTTGTTCAAACTGCTAATTGAGAATAATTATTTTTCCTCTACTTTCATATAACACTAAAATGTATATATCAGATCACATGATCAGTCGTCTGACAATTGTTTCATATAAACATTAACTCAAAGATGTCACTTTGCTTTGTGCCTTGTCTTAGTTTGGGTTTAAAAACTCCAATTACCTCTTAAACTTTTTGAGCTGTGCATTAAAATAAATGTTTATTACCTACTGTATTGAATTTACTCTCATGATTCCATGAGAAATCCAAATTGTCCAAATCTATGTTATTTTAAGAAAAACAAGGTTATGTTCCATCAATGAAGAGCCAGCATTATTATTCTTAATGCTGAGCACACGTTGAATTAGGTTTTTCTAAATCAAAGCCTGAGATTTTAGAAACTCCCTCATCAGAACCTAAACTTTAATCTCTGATGATAAACATGCCATCAAAATCGAATAGAAACCCATTTATTTTTATCAAATCAAATAAGAAATATAACCTGAGAATAAATCTTCAATTCCCTCATACATTTATAAAGCTGTATTTAGATTGGTATAATGAAGAAAGATACAAAATGAAATATAAATAACATAGTTTGAAAATGCATGAATTTTGATTTCTTCTGATCATTTGACTTAATCTTTCAGACTTCCCTCTAGAACAAAATTAACCCCATAGATAACAAAGCATGTCTGCATAGTTAGCAACTGAAGCAATTGGATATTTTTGAGGGAATTTTACAATTGCTTTAGTATTTTTAATGTTCAAGAGTTAAGAAAGATTGGAGTATTCTGAGTGTGATACACATACATGTAGAAATGGTGCAAGTAAGAATGTCTGTATTACGAAATTAGGTCAAGAACTAGGCGAAGCCGAGCTAGCTGGTTAGTTAGTATTGAGAATCGTGAGTTATAAAAGTTAAGCTACAGTGCAGATGCTGAGAAAAATGCTAGTCACGAATTTGACAATGATAAGTTACTGATGCCGAGTTAGTAGCACTGTAGAAGCTACTAAAAAGTTTATGATAGCATCTCAAATTGGTGATTTATGTGAGATATTGTTTTGTATTAGCCTGGGAAGTTGCACAAATTGACCAATGAAGTGTTAGAACTACTTGTGGATAGTTAGAAATATTATTTGGAAGGTTGAAAGAATACAGAGAAAATATAGTGTAAGAACTCGTGTCTGGAGTTAAAAATCAGTTATCTCCAGGAAGAATCGAGGTTCTCCAAGCCACTATGAATATGAAGGTTTCCAATATTCAGAAGTATTCCAGTCCAATTCTGTTGTAAGTATAGAATTGCTATCTCTCTTGTTCAATTAACGTATTTTACTAAAGGAAGGTAATGCTTATACTAGAGACAAACATTCTATATTTATTGATTAATAGTGTTAACTGAAAGGTGAAAAGTAAAGTTGCCAGAAACTAACAGTTTAGTAAATGTTTAACTATTGATGTTAACAGTGTATACTATGTGGAAAGACCTAATAAATGTTCTTATATTTTGTTCAATGTTAGTCTTGTAATCCGTTTCTTTATTCTAACTGAATTTACCTCGAGTTAGCGACTTGTGAGCTCCATTCGCCACTGCAATCCTCAACTAAATAAATTTGGTGTAATTAGCAGTATAATCGAAACTCCAATGATTAGCCCTAAGTGCGCTGCTAGTTACAACTGGCGCAGTCTCGAGGATTTTTGGAGTAGCTAAGGACAAGTTGTTTAGAGAAAAGAAAGGAGTAAAACATAAGAAAGTCAGCCAAAGTACTATAAGTAGTGTAAGCTAAAAATAAGTAGTAAGTAAGTGACTATGGCCAATGCTGGTATAGATACGACTACAGAAGAGGGTAGTACATGCCCTAGAGTCAATAGAAGGGCTGACACTAGCTATGAAGCTGCAGCAGAACAAACCACACAAGTAGGTCCATGCAGCACTATGCATTTAACAAGCACCATACTGTTATATCATGGTAGACTAGATGAGGATGTCTAAAGCTTTACTGATGCCTTAAATGAAGCTACTGGAATATTGGGCTGGACTGATTCCCTGAAGGCAGACATATTAAGATTAAGAACAGCAGGAGAAGCAAAATGCTATATTAGGGCTTATAGCAAACTGCATGAAACCCCAGATTTTCAGTATCTAGTATGTAGGTTAGTAGAGGAATATAGGAAGCGAGAAACAACAAATGTAATTTTAAAAGAGATGCACAACTTAACTCAGCAATGAGGCAAATTTGTCCGAGTTTTTGGACATTAGTTGCAGGAGTTAGGAAATAGATTGTGTAGGGCTTATACACACCTGAAAGAGTTGATGACAGAAGATACTTTCAAATATGATTATAAATGAGGGTTGTAGAGTAATGCAGCTAGATGTTATGTAAATGAAGCAAATACCCCTCAAACAATTTTGCTTGATTTAACTGAAGTAGCTGCACTAGAATAGCTAAGGGAAAAACAGCTATATAGGCCTAAACATTCTGCTGTAAATGTAGTAAATAGACCTAGCAAAGCAGATTGGCAAAATAAACAAAGTAAGTCCAACAGCTTCTAGTGTTACAACTGTGGCAAAGTTGGTCACAGAGCAAAGAATTGCTTTCAGAAACAGAAAAGAAATGAGCGAATAGCGTGTTTTAATTGTGGCATTAAGGGTCACACAGCTCATGACTGCCAACATAAGCAAAAGGTAGAAAACAGAAAAGTCCTAAAGGCTCGAGCTTACAGAGGATAGTTCCCAAGAAATAACAGTAGTCCTACATTCACTGTAGAGTCAAAAAACGTAATCACCGCCAGGATTACAAAGCAAAAGTAGAGGTAGTTCTGGCAGTTTGGGATAAAAGATTAGTGTCCATAATGTTAATGAAGTATCACCAATAGTTGTAGTAGAAACAAAAGGTATAATATGTTGGTTATTGGTTGATACAGGTGCTCAATCTTCACTACTAAGTGCAGAACTAGTAGAAAAAAATCCGACATTGTTAGATAATGCTTGGAAAAAAGTTTCCAGAAGTATTTTAACTTCTGTAACAGGACATCCTGTTAAAACACTAGGTAAGTATAGTGTGCATATAATAGTAGGAAAGTTAGAGTTAAAACACTCATTTGAATTCTGTAAACAGAGACTTAGATGCAAATGGTATCATAGGGCAAGATTTCTTAAGGGCTTATGACACTGAAATATCTCTTACTTTGGGTAAGCTATGCATAGAAATGCAAATCTTAAGTTTTGAAGATCTTGAACCTTCAGACTTATGTGCAACAGTTGAGACATATGATACCTTCCTGCTGGCTAAATTTAATAGTCAGATGCCTAATGCTAGCATTAGCAAGGCTAAGGATCAACAATCAAAACATGAAAGCACCGTTCTCCAGCAGTGTAGCAATACACAACAAAGTCGGAGAAATAAGAATAAGAGATGTTCTAAAGGAAAGTCAGAAAACAGGAGTACACAGAAAAACTCTAAATCCAGCAGAAGTGACGATAGTAGTCATAAGAAAAGTGATAGTAAAATAAGGCAGAGTAAGTTAGCAAATAAGACTTTAAAACAGGAGAATAGTAATTCAAACCCCTCAGATGACTCTACACTTATGCCTAACATAAGCAAAAGAGCATCTCAAAAGGAGTGTTTGAAAGAAAGAGTACCTGTAAGATTAGTTAAAGTAACTGAAGTACCTGCAAGAAGTCAGTGTACTGTTGAAACTAAAGTAAACGACTTTAAGTGTAATGAAGAAGTGTTAGTCGAACCTATTTAGATAGAAAAAACAGGAGTTTATATAGCTGCTTGTATTAGTAAAATGTCCGAGAGAGACACAGTGCCTATAAAAGTGTTAAATGTAAATGACGATAAAGTAATACTACCTAAGAACATAGTAGTAGAGAACAATTAGCTGTGGTAGGAAAGCATAATGTTAATAATGCTAAGAAACAGGTACAATGAAGTAGGATAGACTGGGATTCTATCTTAGGAAATATGGAAAGAAACATAAACAGGGTTTGATAATGTTGTCAGAAAAATAGAGAGATATATATGTAGGAGAAAATGACTTTAATGGTTGTACAGATAAAGTTAAGCACAATATAGTGTTGAGTGATAATAAGCCCTAATAAGCACAGAGACCCTATAGAGTGCCATAAAAACACAGGGTTGAGCTAAAAGAATGTGTAAAAGAGATGCTTGAGCAAGGAGTAATAGAGGATAGTAGTAGTACATACACATCTCCAGTTGTATTAGTTCCTAAGAAGGACGGAAAATTAAAGTTCTGTGTGGATTTTTGGAAAGTGAACAGAGTAATGGTCAAAAACATCTACCCATTACCTAATATCCAAGAAACCTTAGATAAGTTAGATAAACGTAAGTACTTTTCATCTATGGATTTACAAAGTGGATGTTGGCAGGTAGAGATAGAAGAGGAAGATAAAGCTAAAGTTGCTTTTGTATTACCTTCAGGAAAATATCAGTTTAACAGAATGCCTTTTGTTTTATGCAGTGCCCCTTCAACACTCCAGAGATTAACGTATCTTGTATTATCAGGCTTCCAAGACTCAGAGTGTTTCTGTTATTTAAATGATGTTATAGTGTTCGCAGCAAGTTTTGAAGACCACTTAGAGAGATTAAGGTATGTAGTTGATAGATTATGAAAAGCAAACTTAAAGCTTAAACCAAGTAAATATCAGTTTCTGAGAAAAAATGAAGAATATCTAGATCTTTTGGTGACCGCAGATGGTGTAAAACCTGACTCTAGAAAGTTAGAGGTTTGTAAGAATTATCCAGTGCCTAAAACAGTAAAAGTTCGTGCATCTTTAGGATTTGTTGGGCATTATAGAAAGTTTATACCACATTTTGCATTATTGGCAAAATGCTTAACTGAATTAACTAAGAAATAAATAAAATTTCCGTGGACAGATAAAAGACAAGAAGCATCTGAGAAATTAAGAGATGCTTTGTTAAAAGCACCAATTCTAAGCCACCCAGATTTCAGTAACGAGTTTATCTTAAACACAGATGCTTCAAATTTCACTGTAGGTGCAGTATTGTCACAGTTAGATGAAACTGGAAAAGAACACCCTATAGCTTAGTTTCAAATGGACAGGAACTGCCTGTTGTAGAAACCTACAAATGTAAAGGACGACGTTTCGAAAGTCTTCCGCCTTTTGTCTTCAGGTCAGTGTGTGTTTATGTTTATTGTTTATTTCTGGCAATTATTTTGGTTTAAAAATAATTATTTCCAAAGAAATAATTACCTATCAGGGGTGCTCGAAGATTAAGCAATCCTCCTTCACCCAGCACATGGACTTGGAATAAAGACAAGCTATGTAAACTTAAAAAGGTAAACGTAAAAGTGAAAAGTGAAAAGCAGATTAAACTAAATGACCGATATAGGACAGATGGTCCATTAGGGTGGTAGGGATCTATAAATCCTATGTCAAGAAATTTATGTGGGGGAAACGAGAGTACCCCAAGTAAACCTACTTTCACTGGTAACGACTAATCCATTACCAGTGCCTGGTTAGCAAGAAGAAGTAAGTTGGGAAGGCAAAATGAAGTCCAGTGCTGAGATTTGATTAAATTTCAAATGAATTATAAAGTCTCCTGATGTTTGCCAGAGCTTTACTTGGGTACAAGTTCAGGTATGGTTGAGATGGCGTGAAGTCACCGGTGTTGCTGGTAAGTGGGCGAAAGGCACAGAAAGGTTCTTTGAGTAGGTCGTAGTCAGGGAGGTGTCGATTACGAGAGTGTTGGGTGAATATGACGGCAAGGATGTAGAAAGTGGCACAGGGCTGAAAGATGGGTTGCAGGTTTGTTGAGAAGCGTAACTGGCGGCTGGGTCTGGGTGCCTTTTTTTCTCCTTGTAGTGGTAGTTTGGGTCATCTTCTCTTGCGTTTCTATCGTAGGTGTGGGCGGAGTTTGAGTTGCTTCGTCGGATTTGGTAGAGTCCTGGTTGGTGGCGGTTGCCATTCGGATCATGTGAAACGTGGACATGGGGGTTGGGCTTGGAAAGGTAGGGGTGGGTGAGGCTTTTGGTATATTTTTTCTGCTTTGAAGTGATAGTAATCAAAATAGCAACCGTGGGTGAGAATAGAGTCTGCGGTTATCTTGGAAATTGTGACAACTTTCATGAAAGTGGAGGGTGAACCTATTTTCTTTGATGGGATACGGTGGACTGCATGGATCTAGATCGTAGAGTTGGTTGTAGTTTCGAGGGCTTGATGAATTTCCTCTTGCATAAAGGATAAATGGACGTTTCTGAGAAATATTGTATGAAGACTGACATTGCTTTTAGGCAAGTGACGTGTGGGTTTGAACTAACGACTATTTGCTTACAATCGTCTTATTTCCAATGCAACGAGGAATCCTACGAACAAACAGATGGTCTATAGCGCTGGATTATAGCGCTTTAAGTCCGTAAACTTAATGCTGATCCGGAGGGGGAGGGTGATTACTTTGTACTACAATCCATTGTTTTAGTCAACACATATTCAGAAAATGCAGTTCAAAAAACTTTTTTTCTTATTCTGAAAATAGCACATGAAATCAATAAATCCGAATCATTTTTATCTTATGACACGTGTATATTGAATAGCAAGTGAATGATTCAAATGCTTCACAGTTTAAACTGAGTTAAAATTAATTTGAATATTGGTTGTATTTAAACTTTATTATTATTCTCACCTTCGCCATCATCATCACATCTTTTTCGTAACGGAACTGTGGTTGAATTTCTCTTGTTACTCTTCTTGTCCCTTTCAACATTTTATTAATCTGTATCTTCGTATTCAAAGTCTAAAAATATGAGTTTCAAACGTTTTAGTTATTTTCAAGATAAACAGTACATAACATTGTCATGGAAATGAAAAGATTCTCTGTCATCATAAGGAGAACTGCTTAACAAACATCATAATAACATAAATGTAACAGTGAAGTTCAAAGAATATAAGAAAATATGACCAATCATGTAAGAGAAATAAACTCATTAAAACTGTTAAGCTTCAAAAACTATTTGTTAAATGTATGAATTACTTGGTTATTTGTATATTTAACTTTAATTCTATGTCCCAATAAAAAAAATTATTATTATCGTTTTAATGTTTTCAGTTAGTGGTATTTAATATATTACAAACAGTTATTTTTTGTTTCTTCTTTTTTGAATTAAAAATGCTTCTTTTCTATTAGAGGGGATGCATTTTGTATAAGCAACCCATTTTTTTTATTTTTTGTCCAATTTTCATTTACTAGATAGATTGTAGCTAAAAATGTTAATTATTTACAGCATATTGTATTGTCTAGTACGTGAATGGAATTCGATTTGTACGGAAGGCTGAATAGTACATTGTAAACAGTAAATTACATTTTCTTAATAATTAATTTAGTTAATGTGTGCTTAATAAGAAATAATAACTGTGAATTTAATACCGTTTTAAATTAGGAAACCGAAATGAAAACTACGTGATCACCTCTGTTTCCTATATTATTAACAGGTGTGGTTGGTTAAACTACACTGTGCATCACATAGTTTTAATATTTGTCTGTTGTATTTACCAGTTACCGACTCACTTTTCCAGGTAGATAAGACACCCAGTAAATGGCTTAACTACTGGATTTTAAAGGTACAGGAGAGCTGTCAATTCTTTCTTTCTTTCTTTTTTTAGGGGTGGGGTTGAGTCATGGAAGTTTTTGAGTCTACTATTTGATATGGGGTTGAAGGTAAACCAAATAACAGTTCGCAATCTAACCAAATTATTTTAATACTCAATTATAGTGGTCCTGCCTTAAAAATCTAAAAACAAGTTTCTGATCACAGATCCAGAAAGGTCCGGCTCAGTTTAAGCACTGACTTTTATTATTCAGCTCGCCTTCGAGTGATAATAATATTTATTTCGTTCATGAGGAATGCTGTTTGAATGCGTAGAAAAGTACACAAGAAGAGTGTATTGCTAACACTTCCAACTAGAATGTAATCTTACCTTCATATCATCAACACCGTAATTTTCTTGAAATATATTCATCGCTTTGCTGAAAAACTCCAAAGATTCCCGAGACTTCCCCATGTGCCTCAAAATCTCTCCTTGATCATATAGAATCTTCCCTAGATGGCGGTGGTGCTCTCCATGCAGCTATTAGTATACACAAATACACTTTTCTAGTCTATAATTCATGCTGAACAATTAATAGTGCAGATTTATGGCAGAATTATTTATTACATAAAAGTGTTTTTTTTATAAAAAATTATCTAGACCAACATAAAAGTTCTGAACTATTATAAGATATAGAGCATATGTTTGATATATAGGAAACCATATTTATAGGAATGGTTGATCGAGAGAAATGAGAAGAAAAATACTTATAGTTATTAGTATCAATAATGGGACCATCATGATCTGGTAGCTAGATCTTTGGACTCGTAGGAAGACAGTCTTGATACTAAGATGGCCTTGCCTAGTGGCTAGTTCTTTGGACTCGTAGTAAGGTCATTTTGATACTAAGACAGCCTTACTCGCAGTCGGAAGATTGTGAGTTCGATAGCTGTTTGTTCCATGTTGTTACGTCAGTTTGCCCCAATTGCTTCAGACTACCAGCTGCATAATCGGTACCAGCGGATTTTGTTAACCTGGGATGTAGCGGTATCATTTTTCTCAGCACTTTTGCCATAGGAACCGGAGTTTAGTGTTGGCTCCTCTCGGTACAAGATGGATTTAGCTTTACATATATCAACAATATTATTTGAAGAGGTGTAGAAGGTCTCTTTAAAGAAGGTATATAACCATATATTTTTTAGAAACAAGAACGAGACTAACCAGATTTCACTTTCTTAGTCTTACCTGTTTCACTTGAACCTCAAGTTCCTGAAGCTTTCGCAGAGCTTCGTTATATCTTCCTGCTTTCCATAAGGTTTCAGAAAGTTTCACCTCGACCCTGAGCAACTAAAAAAATGCTTCAGACAACTTCACTTCTGCCATAAGAAAACTAACAAAATAAGCCGACGTCATTCACATAAACAGCTGAAAAAAATTGATTGGTTAATAAATTTATCTCTTTGTATGGTAAATTAATAATAGTGACTAAAGAAATACGGCTTGTTTTGTTAACTTTTGTAGATTTCTTATGCAATTGAAGTCCAGTGCATTAATAAGCTTTCTTAAATAAAGTTTCATAACTTCCAATTCGATAGCCGCCAACATCTTCGATAACAACAAAAAATCTTAACAACAATTCTATGCATGGATTTCTTTTGAAAGAACGTCTTTTGCCCTTTTAAAGATAAATACTTCTTCACGTACGTCATTGATATACCACTTTTTCACAAAAGCTGTTTATAAATATACTTTTAAATATTATTTGGTTTTGTTTGGTTCTTGGTTATTTTTCCCAACTAGGAGACAATACGTCTCAAACAAAGCCAGGTCCAAAAGTACATCTAGGACTGATGCTTGTAACGTACGTCATTGATATACAAAAGTACGCAGGACGAACATTAATACGTTATGATTAGAAATAAAATCCAATAACTATTGAGGAAAATGGACTTTTCTTTATCAGAGGTAAGTGACAAATGTTTCCATTGTGATTTTAAACGTAAACATTCAACAAGAGATAAGATTGTTTTTCTTTACTTTTGTATAGAACGGGACCAGCATGGCCAGGTGGTTAGGGCACTCGACTCGCAATCTGTGGATCGCGGGTGGTTCGAGTCCCCGTCACACCAAACATGCTGGCCCTTTCAGCCGTGGGAGCGTTATAATGTGACGGTCAATCCCACTGTTTGTTGGTAAAAGAGTAGTCCAAGAGTCGGCGGTGAGTGGAGATGACTATTTGCTTTCCCTCTAGTCTTACACTACTAAATTAGGGACAGCTAGCGCAGATAGCCCTCGTGTAGGTTTGCGCAAAATCCGTAACAAACAAACATTGTATAGAATGATGATAATTATTTTTCTGAATTGTTCTATAGAAAAGGCAAAATGAATTTAGTTCTTACTTGTTCATGCTCAGGTCCAAATGTCATCCTGTAGAAATCTACAGCCTTTCTGTAACATATGCTAGCATGTTCATAACTTTTATACAACGTATGAGCATCACCGAGTTTTCTCCACGTATGTCCAATTTCTTGGTGGTCTTCGTGTAAAATCTGTAATTTAATAATGAATTAGTTTCCAGAATGAAAATTGTTTTGGGAAACTAAAACAGGAAGTCTGGTCCCTACTCCTATATTATATGTGTGTTTGTTTGTTCGCCAACTCCTCCCACGGTTTTTAAGCTAGCAGCACCATTCTTAGCAGATAAAGTCGGGGTGGCTCGGGGAATGTTTTTATCTACAATGGTGAAGCCTCCTTACCATTCTTTATTTATGGTACTAAGTGAATCTAAAATGCACCCCAAAGGTGATTTCTCCAAGCCAGTTCCCTTGGCTGTGGTTTCGCTAGATAATAGATAATCAATCGAGTTATCGGCGAGTCGTGTATCAGTTCAAATTTTAGAGGCCTCATGTAGCTTTGTGAGAAATCCAACAAACAAACAAAAAATGTTGGAAAGTATCAAATCTTCGTCTGACATGATTTTACCTGTGGTAAAATTATAGTCCAACTAGTATGTATTGTAAGTCAAGTTTTTTAATCAGTATACATAAATGTGTGTATAATTTTCATTGTCTAATATTGTTACGACAGCGGAAGTCACCTGACGCTAGTAACACGTCATGAGATTCTAGAAAGGTCATGTCCGTTAGTGAAGCCTCGAGTGTTTTCCAGACGCCCTTTGTTTCGTATATATAAGATCGGCGAGAAGTGACGGCAGATATATATATGAATAATTGCAGATTGAAGAGATAGAGACGGACAATTAAGTCAAGCGCAGTAGTAAAGTGCATGAATCGTTCGCTGTGAATTATAGCGTGTCTTTAAGTTAAAATAGCTGTGGAAATTAAGCGTATTGCAAAGTTAAATTGAGAAATAATAAACTAGTTTTAATTAAGAAAGGACTTGTATCGCTAAGTTTTTTGGAAAGAATTTCTACGGAAAATTAACCAACGACCAGAGACGTAACAATATGTTTAACAAGTTAAGTCTCTTTATAAGAATAATTTTATTTATCACTTCTACTTACTCGTACATACATTAACATAAATGAAAACTCTACTTAAAAAAGGTATAATGTGGGTGTAAACTTCTAGTGCAGGGAGTCAGTTGATAATCTTTAATCGTTCAAGGCCAAAAGATCATAAATTTTTTATCTTTTATTTGTTACTTTGGACATATTGATAAGTTAGTCTTAGTGTAAAGTACATTACAATCGTGTAATCTACGCAAAAAGAAAAGGTCTGTGTATGTAAAGAGGTAGTCTTATGTTTACATATTATTAGCATGTTACAATAAATCAATATATACATAAAGTTTCTGTACAGAAGCTTCTTCTTTATGAAGGTTCTTTAAACATGGAACATACGAGAAAGATGGAATTAGGTAATCACAACTCATATTACTATTAAACACGAGACAATCTTACCTTTATCTGTTCTTCTAGCAGGCATTTCAATGTGTATATGATCTGTGTAAATCATATTACTATTAAATAAAGGTAAGACAATATTACCTTTATCTGTTCTTCTAGCAGGCATTTCAATGTGTGTATGATCTGTGTAAATCATATTACTATTAAATACGAGACAGTCTTACCTTTATCTGTTCTTCTAGCAGGCATTTCAATGTGTGTATGACCTGTGTAAATCATATTACTATTAAATACGAGACAGTCTTACCTTTATCTGTTCTTCTAGCAGGCATTTCAATGTGTGTATGATCTGTGTAAATCATATTAATATTAAATACGAGACAATCTTACCTTTATCTGTTCTTCTAGCAGGCATTTCAATGTGTGTATTACCTGTGTAAATCATATTACTATTAAATACGAGACAGTCTTACCTTTATCTGTTCTTCTAGCAGGCATTTCAATGTGTGTATTACCTGTGTAAAAGATAATTACATTAATTACTGTGTAATGAGTTTTTCTTTGGAACCAAAGTTGTAGAAATGATATATATATTAAGTTGACCAAATATAAAAAGGTTGAGTACGTTATATTAAGAACAATTTTCGAGTCTCGTTACGTCGTTACTGTCCATGTCGCCAGTCCGTTTGTGCTTATTACCGATAGCTATGCAGCGTAGTTTCCATTACAGTAGGCTCCGTTTTAAGGCTGTCATACTAAAAATTCACTACTCCTTCGTGCATTATTTTCCTAATTAATCTAATGTACGAGAACAGCAGTTTTCTTTACTGTTGCCCGGAGCATTAGACTGCTTTTGCCACTGACCTTCTTTTTCGTGGATTCTCACCTGTTACAAGATGCATACTGCAGCTGCAGTATAACTTGTTACAGGTATAAAATCATAAATAATATTCAACGTTAAACTGGTCACAGCTAAAAACATTTTATTTAGGCCTATCTATGGCCTTCAAAAAGTTG